ACAAACCAAACACTGGCTCCAGACAGGGCCTTTTATGTTTTTTATGAAAGTCACCGCCACCATAACTAACCTACACACTTGGAAGGCGGGGGTTGGGCTGGAGGGGTATTTGGATGGTTGCAACCTGCAATAAACCTTTTAGATACCACTGAATCTACACACTGGACCCTTTTAAAGGACAAGCAACACTAACTGAAAAGCAGGAAATGTACTTCACACCAAAACCCAGAACAGTGATAATCGTAGCATTTTGCGAACTCATCCGTTTTCATATAGAGTTCTTTTCTAAATAACACTCATATTTGTTTTCAAATGTATGTGGATTTTTATATGAAGATTTTTGCAGGCAGTGCTTAACTCTTTTGTATACATGCAGTCTAAGCCAGGCCTTAAAGGATTTTAAATGTAACTCCTGGTGAGCATTTTCCAGCTGATAAAACAGTTGAGTTCCCCTATGTGTTGCTAGGGTTTAAATAATGTTACACAGGCACATTTTCAGGTTTCCTTTTGATTAATTAAAGCACTTAAATCAGTCCAGACTGTGGTAAACACAATCATGTTTAAACTGATTTTAGAATCAGTTAGTGTTGTAGCACTCCTCAGCCATCAGACTCAACATAATCCTAGAAATGGAAGGTATAAGATAAGATTTCTTTCATCAGTGTTCCTTGTTACTGACCTGACAAAAAAGCAAGCAAAACATAGTTTGCTGCATACAGTTGTATCTTTTCTTCTTGTTTCTCGCAAAAAAGTGCCAAACCCTGTTATTATAGTGTGTAAATAATGTTTTTAAAGACACTTGTTAAAGGTTTTAAAAGAAAATATGTACGTGGAGGGTTTACCTCTTGTATTGTTTACATGTAGTGAATTCTTAGTAACTGTCTTTAAATTGTAAATCTTTTCACTCTTTAATTGTTTGTAAGTGTCCCAACATGGAAATCAGAAGCTGGCCAAAGGACTTTACATGAGGTTAACTGTTGATTCTCAGTAGCACTCTGATATGGGAGGATGCTGAAGGGGGGTTATGGCAATCAATAAGTAGCCTATGCATATCTTTTCTTTCACTACAAAGTGAGATGTCCCTTCAAGATAATGTAACATTTCATACAACCTTTGTATCTGGAGTAAATCTTCTTCAGCCCAGTTACCAGTTTCACAAATCAGAATATTTAAATAATGCTGGATTAACTCTGAAACTCATTGTATGTACTTGTGTACATACTGTACATTGGAGACATTTGTATGGCTTGTGGCTACATTATTTTATTTCTGTGAAGTTAACTTTTATGATTGGCGATTAGAAGTATTCGGCAGATGCGGCTGGCTGGCTGGCTGGCTTGTGATCTCATGCAAGTTATGTGTGTGGTTAAAAAGTTTGTTTAAAACAGTCTCTCTATATGCAAACCAAATCCATCTGTCCTTTTTTAACTTGTTGAAATGAATGTAATTCAGAATGTGCAAGTCTCCACTCACTTTCAAGATGTTTGCTTCTCTTCACCTGTCATATCTTGCCAGAAGTTATAATTGGCCAGTCTTGACTTCTCTAAACTGGCTTGTGCCTGAAGACCTGAAGCTGTGAACTTGTTTGTAAGTTTTCTAAATCTTGGTAATAAACTGTAAACTCTGTATTAACTTATTTGTCTTTGTGGGTTTTTTTTTTAAAGTAACAGTCTGACTAGCTGATGTTGGTTCTGAAAATAATCAGAATCAGAAATACTTTAATAATCCCAGGGGGAAATTAGTTTTGTTACAACACTCCAGATGACATATTATACAAACAACATATATATACAAAGAGTGCAAAAGAATGAATAAATGTCTATAATTTTGAGTCAGAATTACAGAGGGGGGGTGTCTGACTCTCTGAGGGAGGCGTTGTAGAGATTGATGACCACAGGCAGGAATGATTTCCTGTGGCGTCTGTAAGTTCGGCTCTGGGTGACGAAGGAGTTCATTCGCTGAAGGTGCTCCTCTTCAGCAGAAGACTTATGTTAAAATTCTGATACTAAAGAAAATTATTCAAGTGCAAGAGAAAGGTCTACATGAAAAATAGTGCTACCAACCTGGGTTGGCTGAAATTAAATTACCGCAGACTGCCAGTGCACAACATTGCAGCTCTCCTCTCCAGTAGCTCGCAAGTTTTTTCAGACATCAGGAACAGAGAATTTTTTGGTCTGTCATGATATGTCCTTGGATCCAATGTGGACCTGTTTTTTTGACACCTGTTTTAGTGTAGTAGCACACCTTAGCCACTCTACTGGTATTTGCTCCTTGTGTAGAGATATATAGTTCAGTTGGTTTCTTTTTCCTTATAAAACAAGGAATATGAGTCCCATGCTGGGGCTGCACCTGCTGCACACCTGCATCCGGCCACCCGTTATGTTCACCCCCGCAGAATCTTTGACTCGTTTATAGACACGCAAAAGCACAGGTGGTACTAATAACATTAATGATGGCTCTGTTCCATTTGTGAGACCCACTGAGCCAGCATGCACATAAACAAGGCCTTGGACTTAGCACAGCTAAATGGATAGCAGCCATTCTTAATGTTAGTAGTTACCTCAGTGCTTTTCCTGCTATGACATGTCAAAATGTCTGCTGTGAAAATGGCCTATTGCGTAAAGACTGCAATTAGTTCACCACATTAGGCGAGTCATCTGAGTAGAGCGTCCCTCCTTGAGAATCAGGTCAAATGCATCAACATCTCCAGGATAAGAGCCTGTATTTGTGTCTGGAATATAATGGTATGCAACTGTCAAATCAAATACCAAAAGTTGGGTGACACGACCAAGACATACAATGGCACAACAACAAATAGCCCCTAAATACAAAGTGACAATGTCATCATGGTAATTGTTATTTCTTCATTCCTTATATTTTCATCTGTTTCAGCTCTTCACTGTATGTGTTTCATTTTCTCCATTTCCATTTTTCTGTAGTAAACTGTTCTACAGGTGTATTAAAGGATATTATCCTTATTATTTAATATCTAACACTATCCCTTACCCTCAGTCAAATGTGCTATAAACAGGTGCTGTACGTGCCCACATGCACAATTCCAGGTGCACAACCACACACAAAATCCCCTGATGACACCTCATCAGCCAAGGGCAAACTGCCAACCACCTCACACTCTGCCTGTCTCAGAGAAAAGCTGTGGATTTGTTGAGGTGCACCAGGGTGGACGTCACTATCACACAGACACCAAAACAGACTAGATGTGTTCTGACATACCCAGCTACACCAGTCTTCCCTGTCCAATGCCAATTAAAACAAGGGTAAAGTCTACTACCGTTCTTCTTCCTTTGGCTGTAAGTGTTGTATTTTATGCAATACTTTATGGATCATTGTAGAAAAAGTAAGTACATTTTCTTTCCTCCAGGTGGAAGGTTTAGTTACAGAAAAATAATGTAGGTGCTGGAAAGAAACTTGTTGTCTTCTTCAAGGTAACTTCAACAGCATGGATGTTTGCTGACATTGGGACCTGAGGCCTTTTTTGGTTTACAGGTTACACATTCACCACAGCTGGGTGGTTAAAGCAACCTCAGCATAAAACTTGTTATAAAAAGGATCCGAAACTCAGCGCTGCAGTAACAAATCCAGTGTTTATGTATTACGTTCTAAAGTTAATTACAGTTGTTAAATTTGTTCACCCATATGTTTTCATAATGCAGTTCACCGCTCACCCGTCTTGTTTGCTTTGTACAGCTGCAGATTTAGTGTGGAGTTAGGAGTGTTTCATTTCTTTTGTTACAATGTGACTGTGGCCTACGCATTCACAGTGTGTGAAAAACAGACTTCATTATCAAAATGTTCACAGTGTTGACAGCTTTGCACTGACAATGCAGTCGTAGTCTTGCTGTCAACAGGGCAGGTACAAGATGAGAGTTGTTAATGACATCAGTCTCTTGTGACTGCCTGCAGAACTGAAACATAAACAATTAGGTAAAAGAATATTTTTTTTTATGTTGTACGGTGTCCTCGAGTGCCCAGAGAGGCGCCTTTAAATAAAATGTATTATTAATTCCCAAAGAAAAAAAATATTTCAGTGATGTTTTCATGAATCAAGATTAGGTTTCCTACCTGCTTCTAGCAAGGTCTTTAATGGAGAATCAAAATGTTCTAAAGACCAGTATATATTTTCCTGCCTTATAAAATCTGAAATACTTCTGTGGTAAACTTCAAACAGCTGTTAGTTGACCATGGTTTGTCCTGTGTAGTGTACAAGACTCTTCATCTGTTCTAGTTATTCTGTCATTTTTATGCACAACCACCTGGCCAAGGTCAATAAAGTTTAACTACTGACTCAATTGAGAAACATCACAACTCCCAGTGGAGTCATCTGCATGCGTGCGTTGACATGACTCCATTACTTTGTAAGCACAAATTTTGGTATTCAAGAAATGAGAAATGAAACTCCCTGATATTTCTGTGGTTAATCTGCTGGTTATATGATGCACTCAGTTCTTCAGAACTGTGCATCTCCACTTTCCTCTGTCTACTGCCAGCATTTAAAATCTAAATGATCAATGAAAAGATCACATATATAAAGACTAGGCTACATCCTGTGAAATGATGGGAGATGCGAGAACTGCTCTTAAGAAATGCCCCACTCACGTCTGAAAAGCAGAAGCCAATGGAAAAAGTGAAAAAGAGCTTACACACAAATTGGAGTGCGACTCAGGTGAGTATGTTGTGGTGATCCAGAGAGCTTGCTCTAATCCCAGGCCATACCATGAGAGTTATGCTGACCACAGTTAATTCACAGACTTCAGCCAAGTGAAAATCTGCAAGTCCATCTGACCAGGAAAAAACACTGGTCCAACGGGTCCAACAGTGCATTGCCTGTGTCAGGCATTGCATGTATCAGTTTTTTTGTCATGCACATTTATCTTGCTCATATTGCCCCATTTTTGGACATACGTGTTTATCATCAGACAGTGATGATATGCACCTATATGTAGGCTAAAATCACACATAAGAGTGTAGTTCAATACTGTAAGATATTCTGGAGTCAACGGTCTATAATATAATAATATATTTTTTATCACAATTGTAAAGGGCATTAAGAACTTTCTATTTTAAAAGAATAAAAACCAACAAGATGAATAATATACTAGGTAGACATGAATACTACCCTTCCAAGACATTCTAAGTAACCTTTAATAATAGCAGCTCAGTGAGGCTGTATTTTACGACGGAGTATTAGGGCCAGACTAAGATAATTTTTTTGGGGGGGGAATTACAAAAATAAAGTCATAATATTACGAGAATAAAGTCATAATATTAGGTCTACGAGAATAAAGTCGTAACATTACGAGAAAAAAGT